GGAGGGGGCGGACTGCCCTGTCAGCATGGGGTTTGGTTCTGCCTGCCATCCCTCGCGTCACTCAGAGATTGTTTGTGAGGCTCACATGGGACCCTGTCCGCGAGGGAGCGGAAAGGCACGATTCATTGCTCCTGTCGTCATTTGGTGTCAGGGTTTGGCCCAAATCGGTTGCTGGAGCTGCTTCTCCAAGACAGTGGCCATCTCCACCGGGGTTCTCCTCGGGGTCCCTCCCACCATCGCCTTCTGCATCTGTAGCCGAATCCTCCCCCTGTCTTCCTGCCCGCCCCAGTTTCGGGGGTTCTGGGCCTTGGCCGTGCAGGGCAGTTCACATGACCCACAGAGGACAAGGCGCTTTCTCTGTCACCGTCTTTCCTTCTTGCTTCCCTCCTTCTGGACTTTGGGGATTTTCCATGAAGCCAGAGTGACGATGTAAGTGGCAGTGGCCTTCCTGTCTCTGGTCTTCCACACTGGAGGGGAACCAGAGGGAAAGAGAGAAGATAAGACAGAAGCAAGGACAAATTAAGCGATGGCATTTCAGCCTCCTTATTCCCCCAGCCTCTTCAGAAAAAGGGACAAGTAAGTAAGTAGCAGTAGACAGAGCTTCAGCCAGAAGAGGGCCGGGGTGGAGGAGTCAGTGGGGAGGGCTGTTTTTCAGCCTTCCCATTAACTGCTCATGCCCCAGTGCTCAATATCCTTTTTGATTTCCTTTTCCAGCTCCTAACCCTGTGTTTGCTTTGTGGCTTGTCCCGCACTTCTCACATCGTGTCTTTTTCCGCTTCTCCTGACACAAGACCCTGTGTTTTGCTGGCAACATCGCCAAAATCTTTGGGTGGAACATTCCCTGTAGAAAATAAGGAAGACTTGCCTATAAAGAGTTTCCTCTGGGCTGCGTGGTGCACAATGCTTCAAGTGTGACAAAAAGGGAAGTGAGATGTTCCCCCTTATCGCCACCCCCAACCCTGCCGCACCCACCCGGAGTCTGCTCCCCACCCCTCAGCAGCGTGCTGAGATCCGGCCCACGCATTCTGTGGCCCAGACTGCCCAGTCTCTGTCCCGCTGTCCCGTGGGAAGCCGAAGTAGGAAGCGCTCTTGTCCTAGAGAGTCTGGCTTTCGAAGTGGAGCAGACCGGTAGGAATGCTGAGACACTTCTTCCAGCTCAAACAAGTCGGATTCCAGGGCTTCCTAAAACCGAGGGAGTTGGCCCTGTCCTCATGATGCCACCCTGCATCTAGAAGGTCGCCCCCAAGAGAGGGTGGGGCGGCTGTGTCTGTTTAATTGCCGAATCCCGTGGCCAGAGGGCTAGACCTGAGTGCCAGCGAAGGACCTGGCTCATCAGCCCTGGGCACTGTTGCTAGGCTGGCTTTGGGTCCAGCCCAGTTTGTCGGGTATAGGATGGAAGAAAGGGAATTTGGATACATCCACACAAGGTTGGCCAGGCTGTTGAATCCCTAGCCCACTCTTTCCTTCGTGGGGCCCACCTCCACGGGACATAGGGACACAGAGAGCCCCATGGATCTGCACTTTACTCAGAAAAGTTAGATCAAAACATAGAAACCTTGTACAGCACAAACTTGCACTCGCTTGCTGCAAGGTTTGGCGCAGATATTCTGGGCGGAGGAATTTTCTAGTGTGCCAGGGGTTAAGCCGAAAACCTTTCGGATTCCTCCTCCTTCTTCCCCTCTCCCCTTCCTCCTGGCCCTTGTTTGAAAAATCCCTCTACAGGGGCATTTAGGTCCATTGTCTTGCCTTAGCGCGCTCTGGGATCCTGGGATCCAGCCATCATTTCGTTTGCCAATGGTGGATCCTAAGGCCTCAAGGTGATCACTTCTCACCTGGCTAGCAGCTGACAAACTAGAGGTGTAGAGGGAATGAGAGACTGAGTGTGGGCTGAACCTGGGACATCCTTATGAAGTTGTTTTTTAAAAACTAAATCCCTGATAGGAGCTTGTTTTCTTGTGGTTGGCTTCATTCTCCTAAAAGCTGAGCACAGCAGGAAGCGGGGCGGGGGGGAGATTAAGGATACCAGTTAGTGGGGCCCTAGAAACTGGAGGTTTGACTGGACTATGATTTATTATTCTGAGACGACTTCCCTTATTTGGGGTATCATCTACCCCAGGGCTACATATTTTCATTGTGGGAGCCACCCGGTTGGATTAATAACTCCTATTTTCTAGATGGAGCGAGCTTTCTTTGAGGACTGTGGGGATGCCTTTTGAAATGATGTGGGAGAGCCCAGCCCCCCTATAGGATTCACTTGGACACTTTGGCTATGCTTCTGGTCCCTGATGCTGCTCTCCCCTGCCATGAGTGTCAGAAAACTCAGCCTCTGGACCACTTATCCTGCCCTTATCCTTGCTTCTTCCTCACTACTTTTCCTGCACCTCTAACCCAGGCCCCCACTGCATTAATTTACTTACTCAACACACCTACCCCTACCCCACTACTAAGTGTGGTGGGAAAGAATTTGGTCTCTGGATTGGAGTCCCAGCTCTATAATGTATTAGCTGTGCTACCTTGGGCAAGGTAGCCTCTCAGACCCACGGTTTCTTCATCTGTAAAATGAAGGTGACAGTGCCTACACCACAGCAGGCTTTGTGGTGCAGCTGGCACAAATGTCTGGCCCATAGCTGATACTCACTTAATGGTAGCCATTATTGTCAGTGGGTCTCAAACTCAGCTTTTTTTTAGAAAAATATTTTATTTATTTTTAGAGAGAGAGAACATGCATGCGCGACCAGGGTGGGGGGGTACAGTGGGGGAGGGAGAGAAGCTCCAATAGATTCTGCACCGAGTGCAGAGCCCATGGGGCTCAACGTGGAGCTCAGTCTCACAACCCTGAGATCATGACCTGAGCTGAAAGTAAGAGTCAGAAGTTTAGCCAATAGAGCCCCCCAGGGGCTCCACCAAACTCAGTTTATTTGTAATTGAAGTACCATTAAGTTACAGTTCAAACACAGCCTTGCTTGCAAACTTGACTTTGCTTCCTTTCCCTTCCCAAACTACCTTGATTTCTGTCTCTGCCTCCATATAAGGGAGTCCCCCTGGAAGGAGCTACGTTTTTTTCTGTCCTATGCCTTGTCTCCCAGGGGGTGGTTTTTTTCTCTGCCAACCCAGCTTATTTATCTCTCTTTGTTTTCATCATCTCCCTTGGAATCTTGGGGGTGGGTAGCAATAGTTCAAGGAAGATTTACAAGCCAGTGGCAGGTCTGAGACTCTTCCTGGGGCCAAGAAAGCTCTGTGTGGCACAGAGGGCAGATTAATATATCATGGAATTCCAGCATCAGTTAAGCTTCTGATTTAAGAAAGCTTTTTTTTTTCTCAGCCAATATTCTCAGTGACCTATAAATAGAGTCTGCCCTTTGTTCTGCCTACTACACACAGCTGAGTGCAAATAAACATCTTGTTTTGAGGGCTTGTGACCTAAAGGCAACATAGTATCCTGAGATTGGGAGGGTCTCCCACCTCACCTAGGGTGAAGAAAAACACCACACTGGGCTGCTGGGGTAGGTGTGCTTAGGTAGTCCTCTTGTCAGTGCTTTGTCGATTCTTCCCAGGGGGAGCCCCGTGTCATGGTGGCCAATATTGGCTGTTCCTTGGCATAAGTGCACTGGTAGCCTGGAGAAAAGCAAGGCCTTAAGACTGGGCCTAACTGGGGCCTCGGCCAGGGTGCCGGTGCGAGGCACCTGGTTAGGAGAAATATCCTGAGGCAAATAATAACTACCTTCTTTGCTGATAAGAGGCCCTAGTACTTTTCCAGTAGCGTGATTGCATTAGGGTATTTCTTTGGACCACAGCCTGAATCACAAACTGATTCATGGGCACTGGCCCTAGCTTCATCCAGACTATTGTATGTGTGGTGGAACCCAATGTTCTCCTTATGGCCCTGAGTTGGTGTAAATAATGCGGTTGCATCATCACCTGTCCCTTCTTCAGGCTAGGTTGCTCCTTCTGGCTGCAATTCCGCCTCTGTCCACCAGGTGGCCTCACTTAGGACAGCGAAGGAGCAAAGCACCTCAAGCCTCTGCTGCCTTTTATAAGCTTGAAGCTTGAAAAGAAGGAAAAGGTATTTTGATGGAAACTATGTAACTCTTAGTAAACAACAATCACCTCATTTTCCTTGTAACTCGGAATCGGTATGTTCCTGAAGTAGCCTCTTTACCCTACCTATGGCTGGACCCATCATGGAGCAAATGTTTTCTTGGGATGGTTTGTAAGTAACCTTGTTTTGTAGTTTTGTTGTCATTTGCTCTTTATAGGAAAGTGACAAGATCTTGTTTTTAACAATACGGACATGAAATCCTGGATAATGTTGAATGGATTTTCTCTGCAAAGTAGGGTGTGGCGACCAAAGAAAAAGGGGCTGGCATCTTGTAGTCACTCCAGCACTCGTTCCCCTGCTGTCTCTCCCCCCCCACCTCTTCTGTCACCCACCTGGCCCCCAGCTTCCCCCTTGTACATGTTCCCCCACTCATCTGAGTTCTTGGGACTCTCTCTTGACCCGAGCATGTCACAGATCTGTGCATGTGTCAGCACACAGAGGGGTACATCCAAAGGAGGGGGTCAGTGGATAGTTGCTGGGGTTGGGGGCAGACCAGCGGGCCAGCTGGCTGGGTGATGGGACATGCAGGTGACAAAGTATGTGTGTGGAAGAGAAGGCTGAGGAGGCAGGCGGTGGGAAGGAGGTGAGCCTCCTGATGGTGAAGGTGGGTACCCAGGGCGTGTGGTGTGCGATGGCATTGCAAAGCCCTGGGGGGTATGCCGGCTGACACCTGAGGAAGAGCTTTGAAAACCAGCGCCCCCCTTTACTGAGCGCTCTCTGCTCTGGTTAGGGCATTCTTACTTATTTCTCGAAGAATCCGCTCCAGTTTGGTTTTTACCAATCTCCAGAGCCCTCTTTGCAGATGCCAGCTGGCACAGGAAAGTGCTGAACTGTTTACAGTCCTAGCCTAAGGTTCAGGGAGGGGATGTGGTTTAACTGGACCACAAAGCCCGGTACAGGACTCATTTGCATGGCCCCTGACGCCATGTGACGCAGCCGGCTCCTCCTATATAAAGAAGCAGGAGCCGAAATATCTCCGAGTCTGGGTTGGACTGGCGGCTGTGGAGTTTGTGACACACTAGGTGACACCCCTCGAGTCACTTCCCTTCAACCCTGAAGCGCCTGCCTGGCTTCGGGTCCGATCGGCAGCCTTCGCCCCCCTCGTAGCCCCCGGGGCCCGACTCGCAGAGCCCAGCCCCGTGCAGCGCGCCAGCGCCCGGCAGCCGCCCAGCCCGCCCAGCCCGCCCAGCCCGGCCAGAGCTCCGCGGCCGCCCGAGCCATGAACGCCGAAATGTATCAGACCCCCATGGAGGTGGCGGTCTATCAGCTGCACAATTTCAACATCTCCTTCTTCTCTTCCCTGCTTGGAGGGGATGTGGTTTCCGTTAAGCTGGATAACAGGTAAACCCCTGGCCTCAGCTCCCGAAGCCGAGGCGCCGGCGGGGGCTGGGCTGCGAGCGGGATCTCCGAGCGAGCCGTGCGCCGCCGGTCCCTGTTCCCCGCGGTGCAGCATCCTGGGAAGGGGCGGGGGTAGGGGACGCAGGGAGGGGAGGGTCACCGCCGCGCTGGGAGCCGCCGTCGGAGCGTCCCCGCGGCCGCCGCGCCGTGAGAAAGAGCTGCTGCAGCCCGAGGCGGAGGCAGCCGGCGGCAGAGGGGCGGCGGGGCCGGGCTGGGCCGGGCTGGGCCGGGCTGGGCAGGGGGCTGGCCGCGCGCCGTGCGCCTCCGGGGAGCAGGCCGGAAGCTTTCGAGCCGAGAAGGAATTCCTAGCTAGCTTCGCAGCGCGGTGGGTCCGCCCGGGGCCCTTCTGGGCCGGCGTCGGAATGGGCCGCCGGCGGGGGGGGCGGGGGGGGCGGGGGGGGGGGGGGGGGGGGGGGGACTCCCTGCGCCGCACGCCCGCATTGTTTGCCTGTCGCCGGGGCCGGCCGAGCAGGCCACGCTCGCCAGTGCGCCCGGGGACCCGCGCGCGGCTCCACGCGGAGCTCTGGGCGGCTGCGGCGGGGAGCCAGAGGGTTGGGGAGGTGCAGCTGCAGCTTCCTGCCGGGGCGGCCTGGGGGACAAAGTGCCCGGGATTCCGGGCCAGGGAGGCGGGAGAGAGGAAGAACCGGGGCAGATGGAGGACTTTGGCCACAGCTGCCAAGTGCTCTGAGTGGAACCAAGTGGGTAACGCGGTCGCTTTGCTTTTTGTCTTGGCAGTGCTTCTGGAGCCAGCGTGGTGGCCATAGACAACAAGATCGAGCAGGCCATGGTGAGTGGCATCACTGCGTCATTCCCGTCCTCAGACCTAGCCGCTGCTTATGTAACTTGGGACAGGACTGAGGGGGTGGGTGCAAAAGCTATTTATGCCAAGAGTCTGGGGAAGCCAACAGCCTGCCTCCCCTCCTCTTGGAGGCCCTAGGTAGCGTCCGGTCAGAGGGGCACCTTTTTAGGGCATTTGCAGTCTGCTCTGGCTGGATCCCCTCCTCTCCTCCTCCCTCTCTTTGCTGCAGCCTCTGGCTCACCCCTGGGCAGGTGGCAGGGCAGGGAGCTGAGACACTTGCATTTGTCTGCAGCCCGCATCTGGCAGGGGCCGGAGCTCATTGGATGCAGGCTCACTGCAGTGCCTCTGCAGAGCCTGGGCTGGGGTCAGGAGTTGGGAGGAAACAGGAAGCAAAGCACCCCAGCCTTCTCCCTCTCCTTACCAGGTAGAGGTCAGACTCCACCGGGCAGCCAAAATGGCTGCAGGGGGTTGGGGCATCCAGCTGTTAGCAACCACTTCTCTGCGCCCTGGTGTCCAGGGACACCGCTCCCTGCTCCCGGCGCGGTCCTCAGATTCGGAGCAGAGGTGCCCATCCTGGCACCTTCCCCCAGGGCCGGTGTCCTGTCAGGCCAGGCCGCACCGCAGGCGCAACTCCAGCTTGGTGTGCTGAGTCGTGTTGGAGGGGAGGAGGCTCCAGAAGAGCCGGTTTTGTTCTCTTGGGGAAGATGTGTACGGCAGACAGACTGGGGTGGCCCGCAGGTCCTCCCTGGGAGGTGGGCCAGCAACAGGACCTGAGGTGGCAGTGAGGCTAGAGCCAAGCGCCCGCAGCCAGCTTTGAAAGCCACTAGAAACTTGCAGAGGGGGATCCTCTGCAGCTCAAAGCTGGGCTCCCAGCTCGGCCATGACCCAGTCGTGCAGCTCTCCTGGGTGAGGCCAAAGTGTTTCAGAGGAACGAGGCCTCGGGGCCAGCGTGCTGAGGGGAGGTCGGGGCTCGGTGGCCCAGGGGACGCCCCGATGGCGGGGTGACGGTGCCACAGAGAGCCCGCGACGGCTACTGGACGGCTTTGTTGTGATTCCCCCTGTGGTAGGATCTGGTGAAGAATCATCTGATGTACGCAGTCAGAGAGGAGGTGGAGATCCTGAAGGAGCAGATCCGAGAGCTGGTGGAGAAGAACTCCCAGCTGGAGCGCGAGAACACCCTCTTGAAGACCCTGGCGAGCCCAGAGCAGCTGGAGAAGTTCCAGTCCCGTCTGAGCCCCGAGGAGCCGGTTCCCGAAACCCCGCAAGCGCCCGAGGCCCCCGGTGGTTCTGCGGTGTAAGTGGCTCTGTCCTCAGGGTGGGCAGAGCCACTAAACTTGTTCTACCTAGTTCTTTCCAGTTTGTTTTTGGTTCCCCAAGCGTCATCTCACGTGGAGAACTTTACACCTAGCGTAGCTGGTGCCAAGAGATGTCCTAAGGACATGGCCACCTGGGTCCACTCCAGTGACAGACCCCTGACAAAGAGCAGGTCTCTGAAGGCTGAGTTGCATGGGGCCTCGTCACCTCCCCCCCCTCCCCGCCAGTGAGCCTCTCATGCCACCGTGCCCTGGGGGCTCCCAGGGCCTGGGCAACTTAGCCGCAACTGGCAAAGGAGAAAGGTAGTGTGAGATGTGACGCCAGTTTACTCCAGAAAGCATAAGGGGTCTGTTTTTTTCATTTCTATGGACATCTTCAGCAGCTTCACCTGACAACGACTGTTCGTATGAAGAAGCCACTTGTGTTTTGAGCAGAGGCAACCTCTCTCTTCTCCCCTGCCTGGCCAAGGCAGGGCCACAGATAGGAGAGATTGAGCCAAGTCCGCCTTCTGTTGGTTAATATGGTCTAATGCATGGCTTTGTGCACAGCCCAGTGTGGGATTACGGCTTTGGGATGACCGCTTACAAAGTTCTGTTTGGTTAGCGTTGGCATAGTTTTTCTATATAGCCATACATGCGTATATAAACCCATAGGGCTAGATCTATATCTTAGTGTAGCGACGTATACACACACACATACACCTATGTGTTGAAGGGCCTAACCGGCTTTGGGGGTATCAACTGGTCCCTTATCTCTTCAGGCTAATTCTTTGACTGTCATTTACCAAGTTGATGCAGTTCGTCCTTTATGTTAAGTAAGACTACAGAGTAAAGGCGGGGACGGGCCAGCCTCTGAACGCAGCCGCCACGGATGCCTTGCTGCTGCAGCCCTGGCCCCATCTGTCCCCTGAAGACATGGGAGGCCCCCTTTCGAATGCCAAACCCACCATTCACTGGTGCTGACTACATAGAATGGGGTTGAGAGAAGATCAGCCGGGGGCCTTCACATTGTCATGCAAAAACTTTTGTTTCATTATGTTTGTGGAAAATTCTCAAGTGAACGGAATGATTGGCTTGCTGGTGTCCCCTTGTGGACAAGGGATGGACAAGGGGGTGGCTTTGACCCAACTGGTGCCTGGGTGATGTGCTCAGGGAGTTTGTGTCTGGGGGGAGTTCTGAGGCAGTGAACACTTTCCACTTTCTGACACCTTATCCTGATATGTCTCCAGGATTTGGATTTTGATTTTTCAAATGTAGCTTGAAATTTCAATAAACTTTGCTCTTTTTTTTTTTTTTCTAAAAATAAACCTGGCGTCTGAGTGTAAATGGAGTGGGTGGCCGGGGGCGCTGTTTCTCCGACTCCCTGAACATTGGTGAGCACCCCCTAAGTGGCAGGCCAGGGCTATGTCCTTAATCCAGCATAAATACCCCCGTTGTACAGGTGAGGAGACTGAGGCTCAGCCCGTGTAAGTGACTTGTCCGGAGTCACAGGGCTATTAGGCGAATTGGGACTCCACCCCGCATCTGTCACTCTGTCCCGCTCCTGCTTTCGTAAGATGGCTTCAGAGTGAGTGGCAAGGTGACCGGTAACACGTAACCTCAGCTTGAGGGGACGATTTGGGCGGAAGGAGACCTCCCAAGGAGGCCCAGAAGAAAAGGGCATGATATCCATGTGAGGGGACCAAATAAACACGAGTGGGCCTCTTCCCTCTTCTGAAAACATCGGGATCACTTCGTGCATCCTCCTTAATACCATTCCACGTGAGACCCTTGACCTTAGCAAAGGAGCGAAGAGGACCGTCGTGAGAAAAGGACACAGAACGTATGCGGTGCCCAAATCGAATCCCCCTCCCCCCAGGAAAGATGCCCTGGATCCCTGCCGGTGTACCTGTCACTGCTGAGAGTTGGCTCACAAACCCCACCAGCTGTGTGGCCACGGCCGGATCTAAGGATCCTGACTCCACTTCCTTCCTCTGGCTCCCTTTGGGGTCCGTTCTCACCCATCACCCTTTCCCTGGCCCCAAGCCTCTGGCGTCCAGAGTCCTGCCGTTTCTCTGATTCTGTTGATGGGTATTCCATGCACCCCCACCACCACCACCACACCCCTCACTTGGAGCCACCTTGGACCCTGCGCCGTGTACTGAGCCCTGCCGTGTTCCCCGGGGGGATGATCCCCTTCCGTCTCAGCCTCCTATAGCATCTACGCCTATCCCTTTGCCACTCGAAATTTAGCAGAACTCCGATTTTCCGGAGCCACAAACTTCAAGGACCAAGAGGCCTCAGCCCCGTCCCTTGCGCCAATCGCTGCCCAAATATATTCAAAATGCCACGCTTCCTTCGCTGTAGAGGTCAGACGTGATGGATGACCTGTTCTTTTCCAGTTGCCAGAACCCTCCTTGAGAACATGACAAACCTCGGCTTGCTGGCCTCTCAAATCCCAATTGCCCCACCTGCTCCTAACCTCTCTACTCCTGACGCCAAGGTCATTGTCCAGGCCAGCCGATTTGACCAGGGCATGCACATTTCACAGCTGCCCACACACAGCTCTCCCCAGTCCACGAGCCCCTCCCCCTTTCACGAAGTGCTGAGGGACTTTTCGACTCTTCAGTTCAGCTGGAGACTTCCCACACCCACTCTGCAGCCAAACAAGAACCCACAGTTGCAAACAAAACAAAACAAAACAAAACAAAACACAAACCCAGAAGATGGCTCAGCAAACCCACGGCCCTCTCTGGTCATCCAGCCCTTCCCTACAAGAAAGGGGAAAAAACTGGCCCGCGGTCCCATAGTGGGAAAGAGAGAACAGCTTTGTTTCCTAGGCAACCGCGACTAAACAGAGACAAACACTACAGCTTCTGAGGCACAGCGGTTGCTAGACTAGATAAGAGGAACTTTGTGGCTGTTAGTCACATCCAGGAGCAGAACTGTGTTGTTGTTCCCCAGAAAACCCAGTAGGGGTGGGGAAAGGCAAAAAGAACACGCTGCTCCTTGGAAGGACCTTCATGGGTTTTGGGGTTCTGGGCTCAGCTGGTCCAGCTGGACCCAGAACAAGGACAAGAACCAGAGGAACAGCAACACTGATGCTCTCCTGCCGGGGCTTGCCTCCTCCCCCAGAACCCTCATATCTCTTATCTCACCTGATCCCCATGACGGGGATCCATGCCCCGCTGCTCCATGCCCCTCCTCATGAATGTGGAACATTCGGTTTCTTGACCTTAGGAAAAGAGGCAGTTGTGATTTACCTCCATTTGACAGGGAAACTAAACTGAGAGCCTTCGAGCTTGGTCCTCCTCTCATGGCTCCCATGTACCCCATTGGGCAGTGGTTCCAAGCCTCTGTGACAGCAAGGGGCCCTCGGAAAATGTCAAAAATATGCTCAGACTTCCCCCAACCCAACAGTAGTTGAATTTTTAGTGTTCACTGGGGAGGTGGGGGGGGGCACATAATGAATTCAGTGGTGCTTTTAAAGGAATCCATTGTATTTGCCACAAAAGCAGAGAGGTGGATTTGAAAAGTAGAACAGAAATGTGGGCGGTAGATTATTTACAGACAAGGACTACTGGGGTACAAGGTGCAAAGCTCTCGGGCTGGGAAGTACTGCAGGGAAAGGCTTTCCTGGTTGGGCTCCCAGAAGGAACCCAGGGGGCAAGCAGATCAGGAAGCTGGGTGGTTGGGACTGTAGTGTAGGGAGAAGGAGTCTAGAAAGATCATAGGAAAAAAGGCCCACAGCCCCCTGTCCCTTTAGGGTATTTTGAAGTGGCCCTAACATCATCGTGCGTATTCTGGAAAAATCTCTTGCTTTCAAATCTCACCCTCTCTCCTCCTTGTCGGTTAGCAATTAATGAACATAATTAGAGCTTTGTAGACAGCCCAGTTCCTCAGGTTGTCTCATGCAGAGAAGCTCATTGGAACCCAAATACTTAATATTTAACCACCTCTGCTAGATCAGGCAAGGATTGACAGAGAACTCCTTTGGGTAGCTATTCCAAGCAGAAGTGGTGTCCCGGGGTGGGAGGGGGGGGGGGGGGAAGCTGGCTGGAAGGGGCCATAATCACAATACTTAGTAATAACAGCCAACACCTCCATGGCCCACACTTTGGGCCAGACACCGTTCTAAGTCCTTTTACATGCATTGCCCCTTCGAGTCCTTTCCACAAACCTAGGAGGATGTACCATTAAGATCCCCGTTTTGCAGATGGGAAAATGAAAACGGTAAGGCAGGAAAAGGGGAAGCAGCTTGCCTGAGGACGTCCCAGAGCCAGTGACGGCAGAACCAGGATTGGTGGGGAGGGGAGACAGATACACTGAGAAACGGGCCAGAGAACCTCCACGGTTTTCGGAATTCCTCCTGTGTCAGCAGACGTGTCTCGGGGACAGGTAGAAAGGAGACCACCCCAAACTAGCGGAGGGGCCACCGTAAGATCAAACATGACCATCGGGCCTCCATGGGGGGATGGGAGCGAACAGGGAAGAGGGAAAGACAGAGGACGGGAGGCCAACTTGGCTGGCTCCCAGCCAAATGAATTGAGCTAGGATCTAATAGGTCTGAGGGAGCCATGGTAGGCTTCTAAGCAAGGCAGTGATGTGATGCCAGAGATATTTGCAGACGATGGGTGCTGGCAGCCAGAGAGGCTGGGGCGGAGAAAGGCAGGTGTGAGGTGATGCGGGCCAGCCCGGGGGGGGGGGGGGCTCCGTGGAAAGGAGACAAAGGGACAAAATCAAGAGACACCGAAAGGGCGTGTTTCTCTAAGCGTGGTCTGGGATCCATCCGCAGGAGGTAGGTGGGGAAGTTCCTTTAAATGCAGATTCCAGGCCCCACTCCCAGACTAAAGAGGGGAGTGGGGCTCCGGAGCTGATCACTCTCTTGGTGATGCTGGAGGATATGAACCTTTGAAGCGCAAAGCGAAAAATCAGCCCGACGCAGTCACAGAGCGAGCCCGGGAGGAGAGAGCGAAGGAGCCATGAGTCAAGGGTCACTTGAGAGTTTGTTTGGTTTGGTTCTGTTGTTTTTAACCGTGGCACCACCATCCATCTCCGGAACTTTTTCAGCTTCCCAGACTGAAACTCTGGACCCGTTAAACACCGAGTCCCCACTCCCGCCCCCTTCCACCCCAGCCTCTGGTGACCTGACAGATCTGAGTTTGGACTGAGAGACTCCGGACACACCGAAGGGAACCGGTGTCGGAACAGGGCTGCAGATTTTCAGAGGGAAGGTGAATGCCAAATTTGATTTGCAGCCGAGCTCAACATATTCACATATGGAAATAGCCTAGAACGAGCTGTGGAGCATAATATTACAAAGTCCAGGGCTAGAGCGCCAGGTGCAGGATTGTCTGCAGGTCACAAGAGCTGCAGGGATGATGTGAGTGGACCTGCGCCCCCGGAAGTGGGTGCAGAAGAGGCCAAGCCGAAGCCCAGAGCCACACTGTGGAGGCCGCCCCCAGAGAGGCCCCATGAGGGAGGAGGAAGGGCCAAGCGGGGGTGGTGTCACAGAAAGAGACAGGAAAACCCCCCTGGGAACATTGAGGTCTGTGATGGCTCCGTTTTTATCCTTTGGTCCTTTTTTTTGGCGGGGGGGGGGGCAGCATTTCCTCTTCAGAGTCCTCATCAAGGCCCCACCATCTAGCAGAATAAACTAGTCCCTAAAGGCCTCTTTGGGGCAGCTGAGGTACTCTAAAAAGAAGAGTTGGGAGTCCTGGGGTATAGTCCTAGTCTTTGGCCAACAAGTTGTGTGACTTTGGGCAAGTCATTGGTGTCACCAGACCTGATTTCCCGCGTGCAAAACAAAATGATTACCCAGGATCATTTCTAAGCCCACTGCTTAGCAAGCACCCAGGCCAGGAAGGGCCAGCCCATTAGCCGTGAGACTTCTAGACATTATCTTTTTGCTCTAGGCCTCAGTTTTCCTTCCAGCCCCCAGATTCTGTTCATCCTCATATTGAGTTCTGATTAGGCTGTTGGAGAAATATCCACCTTTAAAAATCAACCCGTGGCTCAGCACCCCAATACCCCATGTGATTTAGTAGAGCCAGGAGCCACCTACAGCCTTATCCCAGCCTCTCTCGTTTCACGAAGCCCTTCTTGTTGTCCATATTGTGACCACACATAAGCTCTGAGTCACCAAACTCAAATGGGAGAGGGTGGGTGAGTTGCAGGGGAGGACGTCTTTAGATCGGCAGAGGAATAGGGTCGCCTCCGAAAGACTTGTGTTTGATGCAGATCACTGGAGAGAGCAGGAAGAAGCCGTAAGTCAGAGGGGGTGGGCGAAGGAAAACAAGAACTAGAAGAGGAGGA